TTTCTTGCAAATGTCCAGGGAAACATGGTACAGTGCATCTCTCCACTGTGTAGTCTCTTAGCAAATCTGTTGCAAGATATCTCAAAAACTGGCTCCGCTTCCTGTGCCGTAAGGATGGATGTTTTGAGCAGTGGAGTAATACTCGTGCATTGATTGCAGCAGTATTTAGTAGTGTAAGGAACAGAAGCATTCGGCTATCTTTTGCTGATTCTAGCAGTTGAATACGCTGCTGACATTTGGTCCACCACATCAACAGCTCCTTTCGTCAAATTATACAATGTTATTATTTCAGGTTTTTTTGCCTCACCTGTTGTTTAGCCAATAGTGTCGTCGTTATGCATTGTAGATAAGAGGTTTACAATTTTTTTTTTTTTTTTTTTTTTTTTTTTTTTTTTTTAAAAGAACATATGACACTATAAAGTCATGTCTTTCTGGAATGCAAATAAGGATGAATGCACCTTGTGATTTTTACTGTTCACAAACGTTTTTGGTATTTCCCTCTTGTTCTTTCTTATGGTGGCCATTAGAGTAATGTTTTTCTGAAGGAGATATTTTGCAAGTTCATAACTAGTACAGTCAAAAGTCTTTAATCCGGACCCAACGGGACTTCGGTGATTCCGGATTATCGATTTTTCGGGATTATAGATCATCAGTTTAAATCTGATAAGATGGCATGCAGAAATTATAAAATTAAAAATATAAAACCGTAATTTATAAAATAATGAGCAATTATGATCTAAAAGGTATCAAAATTTTCAAAAAAAAAACTTAATATTTATTTGTTTACTTTATTGAACATTTCTTTCAACGTGCGCATGCGTAAAGCATACATTATGCATAACCGAAATTAGAAACTTGCAACCAGAAAACTATTTGATTTGTATTTGTGATATTTATAATGACGAGGAATTTGATTTAAATCATATCAAAGACTGAGTACTACTACATTTAGTAAGGAATTATAAACCGAATAAAATAAAAACATCTGCCCTGAAGATAACGATAGTGTTGACAGATCAACTTCCAGTTCATTACGCACCACCACGTCTCCCCCCCCCCCGCACAGAGCAGCGTGAAATTGATAAACAGAATTCGGAACTGTTAGATAAACAAAGGATATGGCCTTTATCCATTTTTTTGGAGCAATTCCACTTTTTGTTTGATGAACATCGAAACATACTTTCGTTTTCGTAGATCCTTTGGGAGCTCCAGCATCGGAAATTCTATTTGACATAATCGAAAGTTCAAGATTACTTTTATAAAATTGCTCTTACAGTCTGCAAAAAATAATAAGCCGGATAAAATTTGAAGATTAAGGAACAATGCAATCATCAACATTAACTGAAATAGACAATTAGATAATTTTAGCTTATACCATCCGTTATACATTAAACGCACAGCGAAAACGTATTCTGCGCTTGTGCACACGCAAATGCGCAGTCGTAAAGGTCTTATGCGCACACGTCAACACGGCGCATGCGCAGAAAGTTTTTAGCTTTGAGGTCCGGATTATGGGTGTCCGAATTAACAACTTTTGACTGCATACCAGTTGTCCACTGTTACATTTTCTCCCAGAATTTAACTTTTCTGTTAACCATTTGACGACTTCAGCTGATGAATTATTTACATGATACGGGCCTTGGGGCTGAGTATTGCGTAAACATCTAAATTACATGTAAAGAAAGTTATTGCATCAACAAGAGTGAAAATCTTTATTCCATATGTAGCTGGCTTTTTTGGCATGCACTGTCGAAATGAACAGCATCCTCTAAATAGTTCGAGATTTTCGTCAATTGTAACATAACTGTGTAAAACTCCTGACAATTATGCACAAATGAGCCGAATAAATATCTTATTTGGGGCAAGTTTGTCCATTTCTTTTCTCATTTGCCTGTTTCTAACATTTTCAAATTTCTTATGCATTTCATAAGAAATAAAAAACGATTATGGAGACATGGTCCTATGAAATATTTCTCTTCTCATTCCATCAGTGCGCCATAAATCTGTCACATGCACATCAAATGATTTATGTATACCACATAAATATAGTAATCTTATAAAAGCTTTAATTTTGGAGAGTTTTTTTTTTTTTTTTTTTTTTTAGCATTGCGTTCTCTCTGAAATCTGTCACTGATGGTGTCAATATATATATTTGTACAAGTGATGATCGTATTCAAGATATTTTCATCCAGTAATAAACTCCAAGAATCAAGAGGAGAAGTTACATTTTCCACACCAACATTTTCAGGCAACTTTGAAATAATATTTTGCAATAAAGTTCGAACATTTTGACAAAATCTTGTTTTCTTTCAAATTGTCTTTGTAGCTTTTCCAATAAAACAATCAACTGAATTAGAATCAGTAGAGTCTTCTTCATCAGACTCGATTTCTTCTTCAGATGACGTATTATGCTCACTAGACTTTTCATCGCAATCAGACAATAAATCATCACCTTCGATAGATTCGTCATCGGCCAATACTTCATCTAGCAAAGTATGTAATCGTTCCATTTCTTCATCATATGTTAATCTGCAAGCCATGTTGTGCTATGAACTCAGTACACTTCAAACTCGAAATTAGAAACACATTTACTCACATTACTCATTTACAAATTTCTATAAACGCATCCTTTGTGTCAAAAGTCACCTTATACGCAGCTATACCGGCAGTGGTCGATTTCAGTATTAAGGGGTAGGGTTTGCATAGCTTTAACATACTGATCGGGCCTCGGGAGCCCGGCGCGAGTAACGCCGGGTTAAAAAGAAAATTTTAGCACAAAAAACGAAGCAACTTAAACAACTTACATTGAAAGAAATGTTTAATAAGGTAAACAAATAAATATTAAGCTTTTTTTTTTGTTGTTGTTGTTGTTGTTGTAAATTTTGATACCCTTTAGATTATAATTGCTCTTTATTTCATAAATTACGGTTTCATATTTTTAATTGTGTAATTTCTGCATGCAATCTTACCAGATTTAAATTGATGATCTATAATCCGGAAAAAACCCCTAATCCGGAATCGCTGAGATTACGGACTTTGTACTGTATGGGACGATAGTATTTGATGGCAAAGATTTGAAAAGTGATACGCCGTTATAGGGTTCTGACCCAAAATCATAAAACGGAAACAATAATCCTTCAGGGACAAAGCCCCTTTGGACTAATAATCAGTCATCTAGCTTAGCCACTCAATATATCTGTATTTGCTAAGCTGCTAAATAAATATAAAATACTTGAATTTATTTTAAAATATCATTAAATAGATTTCATTCTTTAGCTGCAAAATGCCTGCAGAAAAATTATTTTTAAATCCTGATTAGGCAGATTCTAATCTCAATCCTCAGTATAGAAAATGTTAGTTATAAATGTATAAAAATTTATTAATATAAAAAATAGTTATAAAAGTAATGCTTTGGGGATTTTATATATTTACTAATGGATTATTGAGTATATTGTCTTTTTTAAGAAAGGTGGTAGAATTTTAGTTGAATGAAGTAACTTATAAGCATTTAAAAAGGAATCTTGATTTTTTTTTAAAATGAAACATCAAATATGAATCATGAAAAACTGAAAATTAAAACTTAAAAAAAAAAAAAGTAATCAACAAACCAATAATTATCGTCATTGATCAGAAATTGGTTGATGTTTTACGGGGAACAAACCAACGTCCAATCAATTAATAATAATTAATAAATGTAAAGGTGTTTCATTTTTTACTCAAGTAAGAATTATGATGCCAAATTAGCAAAATTTTGTGTTTTCAAGGGGCACCATAATTAATTTACCCTCACTACAGCCAACGTGCACTACGTAGATAGCCAGAAGTTTTCTTAAAATAAACCTGGAAATGTCGAGGAATTTCATTCTCCTGCTTCCTGGGAACCCTGAATAAAGAAGGTTCAAAGTAACCTATAGTAGCCTATAAATCGTTTTTCATTCATTTTTTCTGTGTGTACAGATGAAATTTTTTAGGTGTGCCCAGATTGGGCACACTGTGCTGGAAAGGATTAAGGAACTTGCAGGGGTGGATGGGACAGGTCTGATTAGCATTGTTTGCAAAAGTTTATTGACACTTTTTTGCAAATTAACCACATTGGTCAGACCTACCAGCACTTTTTTTCAGACTGGCAGTTGTTCATTCATCGAGACGCAAGAGTGCCTTGAGATAAAGACAAAGGTATGTGGCATCTTTATGAATTTCAAGCTATTTCATGAAGAATAATATTCTTCATTGATCTTCACTGAAATGCGAGATCACCCATATGAAAGCCTTTATGATGGCAATATAGTCATTGATTTGCATAAAGTTGTAAGCATCTTTACGATGGGGCGTCATTACAAAATCCTTGAGATATGAAAATTCCCTGTTTTTATGCTGTAGAATAAAGAATTAGATCTAATAATTATGAATTTTTGAACAGCTACTGACGACCGTGTTAAGAGAACATGTTTAATATATGTACTGTCTTTTTTTGGGGGGGCGTAAACAGCCAATAAATATTTTTCTTCTACTGAGTTTATTGTCTTTTGCTGGATGAATCTTACAATTAATGTTTCATCGGTTTTTAAAGCATCCATTTCAGGTAATAAGGCAATGCTTTGGCCCCCAGCACCTCAAGAAATTTCCCAAATTTCCAGTAGCCCTGAATACCTGATTAAAAGTTTTTTTTCCACAATCTCTTTTCATTAGTTGCATAACTATTAAATGAAGGTTTATTCCAGGTATCATAATTAAGCCTCGAATAAAATGCTTGTTTTCATGTGCAAAAAATTATGTTTGATCATAAAAAGATTTATACTGCTGTATTAGCTTTAGTTATTCAATGAAGTTGAGATTTATTAACAGCTGCAGTGTATCATTTTTATGCGCATAAACTAGTACATTTATAACTTTATTGCTTTACCAGTGTTTAATATAATTTTAATTTCTAATGTATATGAATTCTTGTGCAATAAAATTACCTCTTTTAATTTCCATGCATTATTTTTACTTTTAACTAGGAACACTTGTCATATTTTCACTTTGTTGGTCGAGTAATAGGCTTAGCTGTATTTCATGGGCATTATATTGATGGTGGATTTACATTACCTTTTTATAAAATGCTATTGAATAAACCAATCACACTAGATGATATAGAGGCTGTTGATCCTGAATTACAGAGAAGTTTGAAGTGGATGTTGTAAGTTCCGTTTTATGAAGTCCCTCCCTTCATTATATATATTTCAAGCATTTTAAGTAATATTGGATTTGGTTTATATGCTAATGGTAATATTTGTACAGGGAACAAATATCTGAACAATATGTCTGAAACATTCCTTGTGCTCATTTTGTGTTTTGAAATGTTGTAGGATTTTTTTTAATTTCCATGTTCGAAATATTTTATTATAATTGCTTTATTTTGTCTGTATTTATGGAAATTTAGTGCTATAGTAGTTTTCTGGATAAAGGCACAATGCTCTCTGTTCATATTTTTAATTCCTTGATGAACAGTCAGTCTGAGTGTGTATTTCAGTATTTCTATTATTATTTAATATATATATATTAAAATATAAATATTTTTTTTATTATAGACGTTATTACTATTTTTTAAAATTTACTTTTTTTTGTACCTTGATTGATGATTGATCACCATTTTTTAATATTTTATTGGTATAAAGAATTAGTAACAATTTTAACAGTATACCAAATTCAGCCATTTGCTTTTGAATTTTCTTGAAAGATAGTACTCAGAATGAATGCAGACTACTTTAGGTTTGTTATATCAAAATTTCTCAAAATAAGTGCGATCTAAAAATCAGTTAGTTAAATAAGTAACCACCTAAACTTTTTCATTGTATGTTTCTTTGTTCTCCCAAAATTTTGCATCTGTAAGATACTGTGATAGTATAATTAACATTTCAGACAATTAACGTAATTTTGAGATAAAGAAAGAAAACTCATTCTAATTAAAATAGTGAATGTACCTCAAGTTTGCTCCTTAAATATTTGTATATACATATTTCTTTCTTGATAGTGTAAAGATTAATATGTATATATTTGTTTTTAAAATACTTTTAATATTTCAGGGAAAACAATATAACTTCTGTTATAGACACGTCATTCTCTGTAGAACATGATGCATTTGGTCAAATTCAGGTACATGAATTGAAGCCGAATGGTCGAGAGATTCCTGTTACTGATGAAAATAAAAGAGAATATGTTAGGTGATTATGAGCACTTTCTTTAGTATTTTAATATATACAGTCAAAAGTCTTTAATTGGGACTTTGGCAATTACGGATTATCGGTTTTTCCGGATTATACATCATCAGTTTAAATCTGGTAAGATGGCATGCAAAAATTATAAAATAAAAAATATGAAACTGTAATTTATGAAATAAAGAGCAATTATGATCTAAAGAGTATCAAAATTTACAAAAAAAAAAAAGCTTAATATTTATTTGTTTACTTTATTAAAAACATTTCTTTCAACGCGCAGCATGCATAAAGCATACATTATGCATAGCCGAAATTAGAAAATTGCAACCAGAAAACTATTTGATTTGTATTCGTGATATTTATAATGACGAGGAATTTGATTTAAATCATATCAAAGACGAAGTACATCGAGATGAAATACTACATTTAATAAGGAATTATAAGCCGAATAAAATAAAAACACCTCCCTTGAAGATAACGATAGTGTTGACAGATCAACTTCCAGTTCATTGCACGCCGCCACGTCCCCCCCCCCCCCCCCGCACGGAGCAGCGTGAAATTGATAAACAGATTTCGGAACGGTTAGATAAACAAAGGATATGGCCTTTATCCATTTTTTGGAGCAATTCCACTTTTTGTTTGATGAACATCGAAACATACTTTCGTTTTCGTAGATCCTTTTGGAGCTCCAGCATCGGAAATTCTATTTGACATAATCGAAAGTTCAAGATTACTTTTATAAAATTGCTCTAACAGTCTTCAAAAAATAATAAGCCGGATCCAAAATAGATAATTTTAGCTTAGCTTATACTGTCCGTTATACATTAAACATATTATGCGCATGCGTTAACGCATTATGCGTTGACGCATGCGCAGAAAGTTTGTAGCTTTGAGGTCCGGATTAATGACATTTAACTGTATATATGAGAGTTAATTTTTTATCTTTTTAATTTGCTTCAAAGTTCAGCATAGTTGGGATTAACTCTTTATGTGTTATGAACCCATATGTATAGTACACAAATGAAGAAGTTTAATGCAAAAACTAACACAAATAAACAAGAAATGCTTCTGTTAGCAGTTTAGCTGGAGTTGAATCATATCAAAGCACTGCTGTTTTATGAGCATAGTAGAATTGTGCATCTATAGTTCTCAGTGCTATTTCTTCATTAAGTACTAAACAGGCATATATGCATTCAGTGCTAACAGTGCGAAAAATGGAAAACGTAATAATAAGGCATTTTTAATCATTTTGTCCTAAACACAACTTTGCATGCTTTTGTTATGCATTTGATTATTAAGAAATTTAATTACACTTATAAGACTCTGAAGTTGTCATTACAGAACATAATGGATTTTCAAATATTTGTGTTTTCTTTACAATGTAGTGTTGATAGTGATATGAGTGCTCAGTGATATAAAAGACTTTCAGTTTTTGCAGCTTAGTTTTCATGTTGCATCTGATGCGAACTGTTATTTTGAGCTCCAAATTTCAAACTTAATTAGACCAACATATACTTTGTTATAATAATATGTAGCCAGCCCACAGAAGTAACACTAGGAACAGAGCATTTAGATTGTGTGGCCATTTTTGGCTTGCTTTGCATAGGCTAAAAGTGAATAAACTGCATTTCAGTGGAAACCACATTTTAGAATATAGGAAAATTCGGTAATAAAAATTAGCTGTGTACATCATTAAAAAAATGTAATGTAAATTATTTTTTTAAAATTAATGTAGTTATTTATATAAATAATACTTCACTCCCCCATATTGTCATCAATAAAATATGTTCCACTGATATGCTAATTTTAAACTTTTGTGCAATGCATCAAACATTTTTTCGCTAAATAAAAAACCAAGTATTTTATTGTAGTGTGCAGTTATTTTTCCCTTGAGTTGTGAACTGATTTTAATAGGAGTAAAGTGGAAAAGAAAGCAGTTGTATGAATCTTTATTCAGGTGAAAAGTAATGCAGTAATTGAAAAAGTAAATTACAACCTGCAAACTCTAAACATGTTCTCGAGTTTTTGTAAAAGATGTAATTACATAACTAGTGTGAGTGTCAACATAAGGTGATTAAAATCATTTAGTTAATTCATTAATTGCAAAGTGAATTCTCAGACACATTTTTTGTATTGCAAAGTTACTCTTTTGTAGTGCAGTTCAATAAGATTTTAGATATTTCATTAGTTAGAACAAGTTGCCATTGTATTTGTCTTTTCTACAGTTCTGGTAACTTATTTTTAATAAAAAGTCATATTTAAACTTACTTCCTTAAATTTCATTAGAGATGTATTTCTCATTCAATTAATTAAGTTCTCTCTTCGCCGCTAGGCAAAAATACATAAAAGCTCAAAACGTCTTCATTGAAAATTTAAAATAAAGAAAGACGTAAAACATCAAATACAGTTAAAAAAAATCATTTTTACAATTAAAATTAAGAGTTTCTGCCCAAAAGAAAAATGCTGCTTTTTACATCATATACCACATTTAAAGTAGGAAAGAGCTGCATTTGATAATATTACTGTATTTGTTGGCATATCCACCCCCCCATTATTATTTTTTTAAATTTAATTTTATTTATTTATTAACACATTGAGCACGGTGCCAAATTTGCTGTCCTTTCCGTTCAGCCGGCAGTGAGCTAAGCCGTATTTTTGTTTAGAGTGTTTCAATACATTTCATTAAAACTAAATTTGATCACATTTCATTGATACTATATTTATTTTTTAACTTTAATACTGTCGGTCACGCGGACCAACGGCAGCCAAACGAAAATTCCAGTGAGGGACCGAGGGCGACCACACGGAAAGCTCAAGGGGACCGACGCCAGCCATACGAAAGGTTAGGGACTGCCGCCGCACTCAACGTGTTAATTATACCTCATGAAATCAAGACAGAAAATTTTGCAGTGTACACCATTTCTGAGATGAAAGGATGGCAGATTTTAGAGGTTATGTATTCTGTGTTTCAACAAAACGAGTTACTGCTTTCTGCAATATTTGTTTTACTTACACAGTATACTTTTCTGTAGATCACCCATACATGGCACATTGCTACCATCAATAAAAAAAAAAAAAATTTAAATCATATGCTGAAACATTTAGTGGGTTAAATACACAAGGGCATTATTAAATTTGCAATTACAGGTATAAATGCATAAACATTTATAAAATTTAATAAAAAAGACTGCATAAAAATATGTCTGCAGTTTTGTGTATGAAGTGTGCAGAGTTGCCAACTCTCCGATACAGAGAGGGGACTCCCAATTTCTGACCCTTTTCCCGCCAACTGATTTGCAACATATTTCTTCTGACTTTCTTTCTCTTATTCTTAAAATTATTCGTGCTTTTCATGTAGCTTGGCTCTGTTATTTTCACCAAAAAAAGTGATTTGGGGCATCTGAAAACACTAGCTTTTTCTCTAGATTACATTTTAAAAAAAGTCTTTTCATCAGTGAGAAATTAAGGCATGCTTCTGCTTTGTGAGTGAGAGCACATGTGTCTGAAAAACATCATGTTCCAGTTTTCCAGTGAGAATCAAGTGCCACTACATGTTAATGTCATCTGGCATATGATAGCCAATGAGCATAAAACAAGATTGAAGTTATGTTGTTCATCTTGTCACTGAGCCAAAGAATGTACATGTAAGAAGGAAAGGCTCTGTAGACATAATGTAAACCAGTTTGACTACTGCACTGCTATGTCGTGGAGGGAGAAATTCTCATCGCCAAATCCTCAGGAGTGCAGAAAAGTGAAAAATGCAGTACAAATTTAAAGAACTTGTGGGATTCATTCTTTGACTTTTAACTTTTTGATTTTGGCACTTTCATTTCCATGTTAATTAATCCATATCACAGTTTGATTACTAATATTATTTTCATCAGTACAGCGGGGGAAAAAATGTAGTCACAGAACTTTGAACTCTTGATAAACGTGACCTTTGACAGCCATTTTCCTGTGCGATATGAGGGAGCCACTCCTGCTTTGACGATGCTTTCCTTCTTAACAGTACATATTCTTTGGAGGAGTGGTATGAATACTTGTGCTTTCAAAAAATAGTTTTAGAAATTACAATCTTTTGTTTTAGTTATGTCTGCAAGAAAGGTAAAATACTCATGTTCTTTTTAAAAGTCATGTGCAGATGGCTTTTCATCTATTATTTCCTCAAGGAAATGTAATGCATTTGTATATTTGTTTATTTAACTTTCAAATATTAATTAGTAACTATTTAAAGTTAATTCATTATTAAAAAAAATAATTTTTATTATTTAAAAAATCTTTTTGTCAATTAAAAGAATATGATTTCTTAAGCAAATCTCCTGATTTTTTAGTGTGGTAAGTTGGCAAGTATGAGTGTGTGTCAATGTTTGTTATTTATAATATATATGCTAAATGGATTTCTTGCTTTGTTTGACAAATTTCACATTTGTTGTTTCAGGTTGTATGTAAATTACAGATTTATGAGAGGAATAGAGCAGCAGTTCTTAGCCTTACAAAAAGGTTTTAATGAATTAATACCTCAACATTTATTAAAATCTTTTGATGAGAAAGAACTTGAGGTAAGAATATTGAAATTTAGTTTCATCTAAAAAAATTAAATTCATCTTTATAATTTTAAATTTCTTGTAATTAGGTAATAAGTATTTGTAATTTTCAGTTTTTTTGTCAAATAATATTATGTAATAAATCAAGAATTATTCTATGAAACAAATGAAATTCCTGTTTTAATTAGGATAAAGTTTCTCATATGTAATACTGTTTTATTTTTAGGGTAGAATGCTTGGTACTTTTCTGTTAATACACTTTGACAGATTTTCTTGTAATCTCAAATTACAGTTGTCAGTAAATTATTTGGCTACTGCAACTTTACCAAGAGAGTATAAGACATGTTTAAAAGTTTTGGCTTTTCCCATGCTCAGTATGGCTCAATACTGTTCAAAATGGAATGATCAGGAACAAAAAGCATTCTCTAATTACATCAAAATCTTCCAAATGCCTACTGGAATGGAACTCTGCCACCCCCTTTTTTTAATGTGTGTGTGAATGAGCTTTCACAAATTTTTATAAATTTGTTGTGTCAATTGATTTTAGAATTAGATAGCATGATGTTAATTTAGCAATACAGTAATTAAAGAAGTTCTGTTGGCATATCATTTTTTTGCTTTCGCTGAAAAACAGAAATTGCTGCTTTTAGAACTCATTCAGATGCTTCAAGGGAAAGCTTAGATTTTACTTTTTCATTGATGAGTGATTGTGAATTATTATAATCAGTATTGCTTGCAAATAGGGAATGGATCAAACATGAAATCAGTGTCTTTGCAGTATGGAATTAGAGAGCAGACAGTGTATGATTTATTTAAGAAAAAAGATCAATTTGTGCAGTCTACATGTGCATGATTCTGCCATGAAAATGAAGGAAAGGAAAACAATGAAAAAAATCAACCTACAGGGACTTAAATAAAGCCATGGTGAAGCGGTTTAGTCAGCTGAGATCACAGGGAAACCCAATAAATAGAATGATTTGTGGGAAGAAAAAAAAATTTTTTTTAGCAAATAGGACTTCTGGGCAAATGCTGTGCATCATCTAGATGGCTTCCGCATTTCAGAAAGCGCCATACTATTCAAGAAAACAAAGTGCATTGTGAACTTTTGAGTGGTGATCAGAATGCAGCAAGAGACTTTTGCAGTGATTTTAAAAACTTGATTGAGACTGAAAATTTGCTTCTAGAGAAAATATACAATGTTGATGAATCAGGTTTATTTTAGAAATGCTTGCCAAAATTTCTTATGTCTGAAAAGAAACAAATAATCCTGGTCACAATATCAGTAAATCTTGTGCGACAATAATGATATGCTCTAACGTGGCAGGAAACCACAAATTGAAACTTATTGTCATTAGAAAGGTGAAAAAATCAAGGTCTTTCATTCAATGGGAAGCATCTGACTTAACAGTTCACAGTTTTAATCAGAGAAAGGGATGGATGAATAGAATCATATTTCAGAAGTGTTTTGATACAAAATTCATGGTGGTACTGGCAGACTTTTTAAAATAATAGGGCTTTCCTGAAAGAGCAGTGTTAGTTTTAGACAGCATACCATCCCGCTCAAGTGAACTGACATTAAAACCAAGGTATGGACCAATTTTTTGTAAAATACTTGCTGCTGCCTGATTTGACAGCCCTAATACAGCCAATGGACCATGGAGTTATTGTGTCGTTCAAATGTAAGTACCATTTTGCTGTGATACATACATTGATTGAGAAAGATCTTAAAACTTTTCTGAAATATTCAGTTCTGGATGTTATCTACAAAAGTGCTGGCTCATGGCAGCAAGTGAAATCCTCAGTGCTAATTATGGCCCACTAGCAGCCGAGCAGTAAAGTTGCTGAACATTGGTAGTTTGGTTCAAGGTTCAAATTCCATGAATGGGCTGGCTGCATGCTTGTTTTCATGGTTTCCCCCCATGTGTAACATGTATATTGGCCAGTTTGTCTTGAGGCTTTGTCGAAATTACATAAACCTAAAACCTCAATGCTAACTAAATCTTGAAGAAAAGTTCTTCTGGGCTTGGAAGAGTGTGAAAATTGTTTAAGTTTTGAAACAGACAGAGAGAGGCATCACCAGCTTATCTTGCTCATTGCAAACAGTGTGCCTAGTGGAGAAACATTTCTGAATGGCTGGAGTGTGATTGCAACTTGTCTTCATTCGAAACCCACACAGATGAGTAAATTGTTAGTCGTGCAGGGAGGGAAGAAGTATCAAATGACAGTGATGGGTAGGAGAGTAGAAGCGAGGAGCAGTCTGCTGATGATAATATCACACATGGAGGTGCATTTTATCACATGCCTTCTGGACTACTTGGAAAGGCAAGGAGATAGGTGCAGACTGGATAAATGACACTATGCAAGACCATTGATCTTTAAAAAAGCCAAGTCAGTGAAGGAACAAGCAGTTCTGACTGACTTTTTTTATGACAATTTGAATTATTAGAGTGATAAAGTTCTTTTTTGCATATTTTACTGTAATTATTTTGTGTGCTGATAAAGTTGATTTAAAACTTTATTAAACCACGGTTTCTGAAAATACTGTACAGGGAAGTTGCCCTGTAGCATTTTTCTTTTCATATATTATAGTTATTTATCTTCTGGCTGTAGATTAACCCTCTAATAATTATTGTATAATTTTAATACCTGTATTACTTTTATTAAATCAAGAGTCTAAATTTGTATATCTAGCTTGTCATCGGCGGTCTTGGAAAAATTGATCTTGAAGACTGGAAAATGAATACCCGCTTAAAGCATTGTAATCCAGATACGAATATAGTTAAATGGTTTTGGAAAGCTGTTGACAGTTACAGTGAAGAACAAAGGGCTCGGCTTCTACAGTTTGTTACTGGTAGTTCCCGAGTACCTTTACAGGGTTTCAAAGCTTTACAAGGTAATTTTTTTATGTAATTTGTTGTTGTTGTTTTGTGTGTGTATGTGTGTCTTGTTATTTTTCAGTAAGAAATATTACATGCATATGTTATAAGAAATAAATTTATATAATTAGAAAGTGTAGGATGTCTTACTTATCTTAGTTATTCATATTAGTCCATAAATCAAAGTAATTTTCTTCAAAAATTATTTAGTTTAATGAATCATTTAACATTAAGATTTGAAAGAGAGATGAGGAGAAATCCTAAGGACCTAACTTATGTTTAATGTATTGGAACCTGAAGAATTTTTAGTTCACGCAGATTTCAAATTGACTGAAACTATCTTCTGTATAAGTGTTTTCATACTTATTTAAGTAGAACTGTCTTCTTTGTTTAGAACACCTAACAGAAATATATTCATTTTTTTTCTCTCCTTTAATAAAGACCCACTGAGATGATTGTAGATACTCCAGAGGACCAAATTATTAATCCAAACTTTCTTATGAAACAAGCAACATATTTTGTTAATAATATATATATTTATAAAGGAATTCAAACGATAAGAGATTAATTACAATTATGGTGAGCAGTACTCACTTCTGCCTCCGTTCCTGGCAACATCTGCTGTTGTGTCTCTTTTTAAATCACAAACGTTCTTTTTTCTGATGTTGCCATTCCAGACAACACAACTTTTCTTGTATTCATAACTGACGAATCTTACAATTTAATATATTGAAATGCATTTACAAGTAATTCGGATTTTTTATCTGGGATAGAATAAGACATATATGTAATAATTGATTGATGATAAACTGGTGTTATTATGTAGAATTCCTTTTCTAAAAATGAGTTGATTGCAAAATAAGAGAATGGTTTATTTCCTCAACCTCTTTACATTTTTCTCTATAATATACAGCATACAACAATCATAATGCAAATAATTGCCCATAAATAACGATAATTCAATAAGGAATATGAACAAAAGTTTTGAGAAGAAAAAAAGAATTTATTAGCTTTACATTTTATTGTTCTTCATTTTACAAATAAACAAAATCACGGCTTCTAATCGTACAAAAGTTTGATCTTAATTAATATGAGGCCCACCAGCGGCCGAGCGGTAAAATCGCTGAACACTGGTAGTTCGGTCCGAGGTTCGAATCCCGCGAACAGGCTGGCTGCATGTGCGTTTTCGTGGTTTTCCCCATGTGTAACGTGTATACGAGCCAGTTTCCCTTAGAAAGTCCTCCACGAAGGCATCCCTCCTCTTAGGCAGATAGCCCTTGAGACTTTGCCATAATCACACACACACTTAATTAATATGATGGTTGCACTTGCTTATTGATCACTTTTTTATAATTTGGCATAAGATTCCGTAACTTAATTATTCTTTAATCACCTCATCCAAAAATATTCGTCCTGTCATTTATATTCTGTAAAAAATTATTGACTTGACTGAAACATGTTTCTATAAGAAGAGGGAAAAGTCAACTATATTTAGTTACAACTTTTAATTTTGGAATATTTCTCTTGGATGATTTTTAAATTCCCAAACTAAGTATACTCATATATTTTGAATATGGTTTGATTTTTGTGTTCTATGGCTCTATATCAATAAGCAGTTTTAATTATCAGTTTTATTAGTACTTTTTTTAGTAATTAATGGGATTATATCAATCAGTTGCTGGTGCATGTTAGACATCTTAGACTCCTTGATAGTCATTCAGACCCAGTATGTCAACACCAACCCTGTTGGAAAATCTTGCTGTAGACCAAAGGTACTCAACTTCAGTGGATATAGTGACCAGTCTAATATGTTGGCATATTGGGTAGTGCATTATCTCCCGCAGTATTTAGGAGAATATATTCTGAACTGATAAATACAGATTATTTTAAGATGGCAGTCAAATGCATTTCAAATTATCATTATTAACAGCACTGCAGATAGAATAATCTGGAAACCAAATGTAAGAGTATATGCATAAGAAATTATAATACCATTTTAGATATAGTTTCTTGCCAAAATATGTATAGTTTTAAATTTCAAGTATAATAGAAAATTAAATTTCAAATATAATAGAAATTAAATAGTTTTTCTGATAATAGTAGTGGCATAGATGTGCATACAAAAATTACAGATATTTAACCTAAATTTTGAAATAAAAAGTGTATGAATTTTCAGAAAGAAAAAACAAAATCAGTGTGAGCAAACTGAAGAGCATTTTTTCAAAAATAAGAACTTAACAGTTCTTTAATATATAACATTATTTTTAAGAAAATTGGTTTACTATCATTTTTTCTTTTTTAGTTTATTATCCCTTACAACCCCCTAATATTGACTCAGCCTGTCATCCCCTAAGTGGGTTGATAAATAGAGTACTAAGTTCGCTTGGGGCTAAACGCAAGGTGTCCTGCGACAAGCTGACCACTTGCCCAGGACATATGCTCATGCACTCTGGAACCGAAAGGTCAAGAAAGCAGAATAAGGGCACTGCAGGCCGTGGCCCACTAGGGCTGTTGTGCCACTGTGTTTAGTTTTTTCAATGGTGTAAAATTAAAAATAATTACATAAAAATTAACAAAAAATATTGGAGGTTAACCTATTCTGAAGGTTTTTATATGGATTTGAAATTTTATAGGGTCAACTGGTGCTGCTGGGCCACGATTGTTCACCATTCATTTGATTGATGCCAGTACAGATAACCTTCCTAAAGCTCACACGTGGTAAGCATATTTTAAATTAATGATGAACATACTGCAAAATTATCTTCTTTATCAAATAATAGTTAAAAAATCATTGTAAATCTTAGGAGTTTTAACATGCAGTATAGTCTGTTGTTTATCAAAATTTCAATTTGCTATTTCATTAAAAATTTTGTTCTGGTAAATATTTTGTCTAGAAAAATAAATTTATGTAATTAAGATTTAAAAGTAGTCCCAAAGCTTCTATTACATCTTTAAGTTATTACTCAGATGTCTTTGCAAATAATTTTTCTTCATTTTTGATACAATGAAGTGATAAAAGTGAACAGCCAAATGTGTTCTGTTTAACAAATTCAGCAGGAGCTGGAACACCGTCAGTTGTTTGTTATTATAAGCAATTTATATTTTAATCCAGTACTTGCCCATTTTTTAAATTAGTTAACTCTTGTACGAAAAATGTCAGTGCCTTTGGTCTTGTTATTCATAGAAGCAAGACTGCAATGTTCTTCATTGATTTTTGAGCTATCTATTGATGCATATCTAACAACAGTTGCAAACTTACCCGTACTGTTTACATTGCTGCATTCATCAAGAGCAGTGCTAATCATAATTTAGAGTCATTAGGTTATTTTAAAACAGGAAGGTGTAAAAAATGTACAATGCCCTCTCTGGGGTTCAAACCTAGAGACCTCTTGAATACATACCGAGTGTGCTACCGTTACACCATGAAGGCATGCAGAAAGGAAGGACATAATACCTTATATACTCCCCTTTTAAAAGGGTGAATGGGGATTAGGGGACCCTATAGCCAAATCCTCGTGGTGAAGAATCATCATTCACCACCTTTCAGTTCGAGTGACGCTGTAGAGTTATTAGGTTATTTGAAGCAAGAGACATGAAAAATTAGCAGTGATCTCGGCTGAACTCGAACCTGAACCTCTCGAATACACACCGAGTGTGCTAAACATTACACCATGAAGGTATACAGAAAGGAGGGAGAAAATACCTTATATACGCCCCTTTTTAAAGGGTGACTGGAGATTAGGGGACCCAATGACCAAATCCTGGTGGTTCGAGCGCCACTATATAGTCGTTAGGTTGTTTGAAGCAAGAGACGTGAAGAATGAGCAATGCTCTCACTGAGACTAACCTCTCAAATGTATGCCAAGTGTGCTAAGTGTTACACCATAAAGGCATACTGGAAAGAGGCAGAAAGTACCATATAACATCACTAGATAAAAAATAATTTTTTACCTTTAAGACCTTATTCCTATGTGTCATCTCCAAGCAAACACATCTGAATGTGAAAGTAGAGATCTAATACCCCGACTTGCGTATTGGTCAAGGATAAACATGACTCCTGGGAAGAAACACTGCCAAATGTGAAACCACTAATCACGCAGCAGTATTTTTGCAGTCTGGCAGAGAATTAGGTTAGGTTAGGTTATTTTATTCAATTACGGCAAAGCCTCAAGGACTATCTGCCTGAGGGGAGGCAGATAGGATTCAGTGACTCTACCGCTCAGCCATTGTTGAGCCCTCTGGCAGAGAATTAAGAACAACATAAGATGTTACCCATGACCTAAGAAGTTGTCATTCAACAATGATAACTTTGTAGCTGAGATAATCCCATATCTAAAATTATTTGCCTATTTAACTCAGGGTTCGTAGCGGTCCTTACAAGTACTTATACGTCCTTATATTTGAAAATAAAATATAAAGACACTTATAGGTACTTACTTTTTCTTTAAATCTCCCCTTTTTTTTTTTTTTTTTTTTTTTTTTTTTTTTTTGTTTTTTTTTTTTTTTTTTGCTTTGAGTGCCTTTTTTAATGAACACGCATATTTTCCCTGTACCAAAGCCGAAACTAAATAAACAACTTTTCTTCCTTATAAATGCAATGTCAGATGGTGAATCATACTCCCGGAAATTGCTTTTCCCCCCTTTCTCTGCATTAACGTAACCTATGGTGCACGTGAGAGTACAGACAGGTGCATGTCGTTCTGTTGGTCAAAGAATTGCGAAAACGATAGAAAATTCAGGTACATTCGGTATTCTTTTCCTCCCACCCAAATACTACACATGTTTGGATTTCTATCAAGATTTTAATAATTTGCATTCTCGTTCCGAGTGGTCAGTTCATATTCATGTTTATCATGATCGTTATGCTTATATTATAAGCATATGCATGAATATTTATAATAATATAGTTGCAGTAACTGCTGAAGTAAAGATAAACTTTCAAAAATGGGTGTCTTTTTACACAGATTAGCTTTCTAAGGAATAATATTCGGAATGGCTTAAATAAAAGGAAAGTAAATAAATAGTCTTTTTTTTTTTTTTTTTTTTTTTTTTTTTTCCCTATACATTATACAGTACAGAAGTTGGGAGGTTCTCCCCTTTCTCCGCAAAATGTCTAATATTGAAGCAGCAGACTTTGTTTTTGTCACTGTCCAATCTGGATTGAATAGGACTAAAATTTTTGCGGTCTACCCAACCCAAGCGAAGATTGATTCTATTCTGGAAATTTATTTAATGCAGTCTGTTGAAAATTGGAATCAGAAACACCCTAGATTAGTTAAGTCTCTTTCTTTTCCTTTATTTAGTTCTTTATTCTCCGAATACCGGCAGCTGTTGATTCCGATTGCGTAATATCACATGTGGAAGAATTACGGCGCACGCAATAACGTTTGCGGTATTGCAGAGATAATTAATTTTGATGTTCAGTCTGAGATTTGTTTATGAACACTTAAAAGAGTTTTACTGTGCTTTCTAAGCAGAATATTTCTGAGTTCCGTTGGTCTATTTTTATATGATGCACATCGAGAAATCTAAAGAACGGCTACAATCTCCCCCACTCCTCTTTTTCTTTACTATCCGGAATATTCGGCAATTTCCGAGTATGCGGGTTAGTTAAGCTTTTACTGTTAAAGGATGACTGCATGAAGCAATTTTCCGTCTTCTGATTTCAGAAATGTGCTTCTTTTTTATTTAAATTACTTTGCTTGGAATATATGTTAAGGGAAAACTGTTATGCAATGAAAATTTAGAAAATGTTCAGAATTTTGATTTAAGTTAAATTATTTAAATATTAATATGAGTGGAAAAATAAATTGTATTTATTAGTAGGTACCAAACGAATACAATTAATATGGCTTATTATTATTTATTTTCTATATTTTGAACTGAAATTTCATCATTAAATCTTGTAATATAGTTTAGTTCTGCATAGTTTTTTTTCTCTCATTGTAAACTAATTCTGTAAATTGAATTGTCATTTAAAATTTAAAAAAAAAAATTAATTGTTTTCCATGGTTGAGGTAATGCTTATTCTCTTAATAAATATTTCATTGCTCATATTTTAAATTACAAGTCTAATGTTTCTTTTAAGGTTATGCAGTTGTGCATAATGTAATTAGACAGGTGCTTATTTTTTCCTTAAAATGTGTTTGAAAAGTGCTTATAGGTGCTTATTTTTTTAACTAAAATGTGGCTACGAACCCTGTAACTGTAGAGCTTGAAGACCTTGTCGAACAGAAGCAAGACAAGCAAAAAAACATATGACTGTCAATAGCAAACCAGGTGGTTGGGTTGACACTACATCCTATTAGCAAATCACAAAATAAAAAAAAATTTTAAAAACCTCAAAAATTCATACCTAAACATGAAGGACCTTAATTAGTGATCTTCTGCTTTGTATGATTTTGCTGACCCAGCTAAGCGAGATTAAGTCCTTGGTACAGCTTATGAACTGCTCATTTCAAGAGACAGTGGGACTGTAACACCTCTTCAGAGACAAAGGTAGACCAATGAAATATATTGCTGGCTCTTTGCTGAGACAGGCTCTTGTACAAGCCAGAGAAGTGTCTGTGACCCAAAGGTGCATGGTCATGGCAAGGCAGAGTTCAGAAAATGACAACAGTAAGAAAAAGAATATCTGACAGAAAACAATATCTGACAAAATATATAAGGATAAGCAATGTTTTAAAAAAATGTTTAAGAGGACAGACAGTGAAGAAAGAACATTTTATGGAGAAGGTTGGTTGGTTGGTACCATAAACCACATTTTGCAATGAAAAACTTTCATTAGTTATTTAACAGATGTTGCATGATTTCCCTATTCTTCTTGAGCTTCAAGAATAACTCCAATAGTCATGTATTTGTTGAACATAAAAGATTTTATGCCTATTTTCTTCAAACACAAAATTGATTTAGTCCTTTCTGTAGTCTTGTATTATTAAATATGAAATTATTAGAATTTAGCATGTCATAATTTAAATTAGTGTAAAATTTCCATTATTAATTATTTGTTTTCCCTTTCAGTTTTAATCGTATTGATATCCCTCCATATGAATCATATGAAAAACTGTATGAAAAGTTAACTCAAGCAATCGAAGAAACATGTGGCTTTGCTGTGGAATGAGATGGAATAATTATGTGTGTGACAAAAACTTTCCAAAATATCTTCCAAGAAAAGCCTTATATTTTATTTATTGCTGCCTTTTAGTAGTCAAACTGTGGCACAAAAGGGATATGTATATAAAATGCCTAAATGTGCTTGTGACCATTGAAATCTAATCAGAAAGTGAAATCTACTCAAAACATGAATGAGTATTAAGCAGTTGCTGTCTATACTTTTCTTCTCATTTTTAATGAGCTGCTTATTAATTGAAAAAAGTGCAGATCTTTTGAGTTGTGAATAGTTACCTTTGTAATGAAAAACAGGACTTCATATGGTATACTATTAAGTCATCCATTTTCTTGTTACTTATTTTTATATAATCTTGTACAAATTTAGGAAATTTATGAAATTATTCTTATGTTTGATTGAAATGGGTTATGAACATTTTTAAAGGCAAAATATGCTTGAATGTTATGAAGTTTTACCCTGTATAAAAACAATTAAAAGCTTTTTTAAGGTTTTATTTATAATTAAAATAAAATATTGTAATGTATTGTTGTTCACTAAATCGAATTAAATGTATTTATTTTGAGCTCAATATATGATTTTAGATGAATAAGTATTTCTAGAAGTAATTTCTTAAAAATATAAATCAAAATTTAGCTGTACATATTCCTAATCTAAGCTATGTGTTTTTACATTTTATTTTCAAGAATTTGTGATAGATTACCAATGCACAATAGAATATTTCTATTTTAATTATTAATCTTGTTTAAATTAATTTTTCATTATCACTTTTAAATGAAAATATTTTTTAGATTGATAATTTAAACAGTTTGTTAATAAGAATGTGTATATTTTTTAAAACCCATTAATTTAATCTTTCCTTTTTAAAGACTGTTCTAATTTGTGGATTTTAGAAATTTTTAGAGGCTTTCTTTTTAAATTTTTTATTAAGCTACTGTTTAAAAAAAACATAAGGAGCTTGTGCTTCCTCCCTGTCTTCTTTTTTTAATCATTTTGTTTTTTGGTTTGCCAAAAATTGTAGTAGTAGTCTTGTGTTAACTACTTTTGTAATCTTTCTATTTTTCTTGTATATATAATTTGCTTTTCCCAAATAATTAATAGTTACCTTCATAAATATTAAATCACTGACCACTAAAGTCATTCTCTTTTACTTTTTGACTTTTACATTACTCTTATATTTCTGTTTTTGAAATTACAAAAATAATCTTTATCTGTAGATACAAAACTTCCTTGTCTCTGCAATGTTTTTATTTATTGAAATTTGAGATTCCTTTAAAATGTGAGTAGGTTTAATTTTTATGAACTGTTAGTATTTTTAATTCTGAAGTATGTAATTGCTTGCTGTTAATCGTTTATTGTAAATTATTAAGTGATTCATAATTATCATTTCTCCCCTTTGAATTTTACCCTCTTTTTTGGAGCTTAGTCATAGCATGCAAGTAATAGATATCTAGATAGAAATTCCACATTGCAAAATTAATTACATTATTCACATATTTTACTAAGTGTTATAAAATTCTGAGGGATGTAAGCTGCTATAATGATTTACATGTGAAACATGGTAAATATATATTCATTTCAAAAATATTTGTGAAACTTTTTTAGAATCTTTCTAATAAACGTACTGCTTTTTGGAATGTTGATTTTAAATCCATAGCAAATCAAAAAAAAGGGGGGGGGTTTCTTAAGCATTTTCAAATTTAATTTTTTTTAAAAGTTATTGAGGGGAATAATTTCTTAGTTAATAAATAATATGAAAAAAAATGTAACAATGCTTACATGCATCTACTTGGTAACATTTTAAGGTATTCTATATTTATTTTAAGGTAAAAAATAGCTTGCAATATGTTGTAATATAATTTAACCTCTCACAAATGATTATTGGCTAGACATTGTACGAATATATCAACTATGTATCTTTACTGTGTTTAAAAAATTATATTTATTCTCGGGCAAACAAGAAGTTTTTATTTCCTGCTATTTATATAGAAACATATTTTTGACTGTCTATTGAACTTTATCTTTTATAAATTTTTTGAGTATCAAGTGTAATTCTGTTACTAGTATATTCACTTTTCGTAATTTTGTTATGCTGGTTCTCTTCAACTTCATATTACTGAAGCAGTTACTCAAGCAATATTGCTTCATATTGTTTGATTTCAAATTATAACATGTAGGAAAGGAAAAAAGGACCATTTTAATTGATGTATTAGCATTTGTTTTTAAAACAATCTTTTTACAATTTTTCTCATAAATAAATGCAGTTCATGTTCTGAAATAGAACCATGTAATAATTTATCTAGTGATGTTATAATCTTCTCGTGGAGATAATCATCTAGTTTTGTATGAGTATTGTTAAACATAGTATTTATCTACTTTTTCTTTACTTGTATATCATAAAAATACCAATTGACTTTTTACTGTATAAAAATAAATAGCCTGTTGTAAAATCTGCCTGAACTGCATTTTTTCCCCATAAATGAACAGATACTCATTTTAAAAGATTTTATATATATTCTATTATTATGAATTATTTTTAACCATAAGTATGTTATTGTAGCACTATATTAACAATTATGCTGTTCATTGTGTTAGTAGTTTCTAATCTTAAAATATGTTTCTATGTTGGAGTATGTATATTAATGAATATATTGTTTATAACATGTACTTCGTTTAAAACCTAAGAAAACATTTTTGGTTATTGAAGGCATTGTAGCTCACCGAATCTCCCAATTTTTAATTTTTTAGCCTTTAATAAGGAAACATTTTGTTAGCTATAAATGAAATTTATTGAATTAATGGAACTGAAATTGTGCAAATTGCATTCCCTCACCTGTTGTGATTTTCAACATTATTTTTCTTTTAAAATTTTATTTGATCTGAATTGTTGATTTTTGTAGAACTTTTTATTACGATTCAAGGAATGCTTAATCAATAATATTTGTATTTAATTTTGTTTTATATCAATAAATGATGTTACTAATTTTACTCACACAAATGTATGTGCATGAATTTAGTTTTCATCACATTAAAAGTATTTTAATAAATAAAAGCTTTTCTGCCCTACTCAGAACTTTCTCAGTATAAGAGTGTAAGAAAATTACAAAATGAATTTAGCCCAGGAATATAAAATATATAAATTGCTTTGTAATTAAATATTAATACATTTTATTTCAGAATGATATAAGTAGTTCAGTAACCTAAATTGCATATTATAAAGTAAATTTTAAGTCAGTTTGTGGCTCTTTTTAAATAGCTCTGCTGCACAGGGGGAGAAATTCCATAAACTTCCGGTTTTTAATATTTCAAATTTGGCAGCTGTACTTTGTTCTTTCATGTGATGGTTTTCAAAACAACAAGGAGGGTTTAAGATTTTAATTTTTATGCATTAAAATATTTATTTTGAACTTTAATTAACTGCAGTAGGCACAGGTTTACTAAAAATATTGTGAAAAAATGCTTTTTTTTTTTAATGAATTAGAATTGAGACACAATAACACGCCGAATAAATACTAATTCAGAAGTCAAACAACAAAAATCAGCGTTATACCTACAAAATTTTCACAGGACTAGTTTCGATGGTTTTACCGAACCATCATCTTCAGCTGCAAAACCGCAAAAAGTAGGTATAACGCTGATTTTTGTTGTTTGACTTCTGAATTAGAATTAGAATTGATTTAAATTTAAAATTCTATTTTATTAGAACTCTTAACCATATACTGTTAAACAGTAACCTGTGTGTAAACTGTTACATATCAAAACCTAACAAAATATTCCATAAACTAAAACAAATTTCAGAGTTGAATTTTATTTATAATAATATATGTTGTATGATCTTAAATTAGTGCAAAATCGAGTTATTCTACTACTTGCACAATTGCTGCAAAGTAAGTTAATAATAATTTATTTACTAAAGAATATTGATTATATTATCTCCTAAGATTAATTTTAGTAGAATTATCTGAAAAGAAAAGTCAACTAATTTCCGATCAATGACAATGATTACTTGCATTTAATTACTTGCTTTTAATTTATTTCTTTTTACAATTGAAATTTTGTTGTTATTGATTTTATTCAAGTCCCGTTAAACATTTTTAACAATTAACATTCACGTTACTTTAAAACATTTTTCAAAATTGAACTTACTAAGTATGGATTCACTCTTTTAAGATAATTCTACTAAAATTAATCTTAGAAGATAATATAATCAATATTCTTTAGTAAATAAATTATTGTAATAAATATATGATATTCTCCATGCTGCACTATTATGGACTATATTTAACAAAAATGTATGAAAGTGTCTTAATAAACTGACTTTCTTTTTGCTGTCCAATAAATGAATTTTAATTATAACATATATTTATGGTGTAATATCCTTTAACTCAGAGCTAATATAATAGAGAACTTTAAATGTGTACTACGAAACCTTGCAGAAGTAGAGGTGAATGAAGTTTATCGCATGTTGACTTAAATATAAAATGAAGAGCTGTTGAATTTTTTGTAATAAGAAAAAAAAAAAAGCATGTTACTTCTGTTAAAAATAACTTTTTAACCAATGTTCTTTTGATGAAAGTTGATTTGCATCCTTTTGCAAATGGAGAATTAATTTAAGCATAAATTTAAATAATTGTTGATGTTGACATTCACCATTCAAAGTCTCTCACATTTATTCATACAACTTGTTTCTGTAAACAACATATATTTAAAAAGGTCTCGATTTTGCAAAAGAATTTCTATGATTTTTAATTCATAACTGAAGTTGCTAGAGAGATGCATTGAATTTACTGGCTGGTTGAATGAATGTAAAGCTCTTATTTTAATCTTAGATCATATGAATATATATTATAGATACATTATCTGTCAGCAGAAACTAAGGTGGATGATATTCATATGTTGATTTTAACTATGTCCCTCCAGTCAATTTTGATTTTTACGTTCTAACTCCTACCTAGTTTTAGAACTCACTCTAGATATTTACATCTTAAAATGCATAATGTTTAGAATGGCTTAGCTTGAAAGAATTATTACAAAATTTGTTTGTTTTCAGTAACTGAAAAATTGATGTCACAATTGTTGTTGATTTAAAAGTATGTCATATATTGTCAGTATAGTTTTGGAGCATTCTTGAAATTTTTTTAAATTTTTCATGTATAAAAAGTTAATTATCTATTTTTTACAAACTTAATTTCCAAAATCTTGCTTTTTTTATTATAACTTAAATAAACAAGATTTTCATTTCTTTTTTTCCCCCCTTCCTCAATGTTGATATATAAAATTTTAGCTTCCCCTCCCCCAAATAGAATTATTTTTCTTTATGTGCATGATGTTTTCGTGTAGATAATCAGTAACTGATTTTTAAATCACTGATTTTTATTATTATATTATTTATGAATATGTGTTAGAATGCATGGAAGAAAGTCTTCTTCGTCAACAAACCAATAAAACATGGTGTTCTTATACCCCTAATTGCAAATATTATGTCAATATTAGGCAGATAGAAAGTATTATGTTTGATAGAATATTTTAATAGATGAAAGTGCAAATAGAGGGGGAAATTTGATTGACTTTTTAAGCACTTGTTTTGTGAAACTTAATTCATTAAAAGAAACAATGCAGGAAAAGTATTCCCACATTGTTTCTTTATTGTAATGTATAATGTGGAAAAAGTAAGGTTAAGGTAAGATAATTCGAATTTTCTATCCAAATGCAACATTTGTAAATATGATCAGTATCAAATATTACAGTTTAAAAATGAATCTTCATTTATTTAAAATTATTTATGACTTTTTGGTATCAAAATATATAAAATATAGATATTTATGCTTTTGACTACAAATTTGTACCATATGGTAAAAGACATTCTCAGTATTCATTCATTCATTTTCTGCTGTTAGATACATGTGTGTGTTTAATACAAAATGTTTCAGTTAAATCGTTAGTCATTTTTAAGTGAAAATTATATTTATCTGTCATAACATAAATATCAGTGATAATAATATAATGTACTTCATGTGCCTGTTCTGTTGAAACATTTTAAGACTATCAGCAGAATGACAATCATTAATCCAGCACCATTTTTATGTGTATGATCTTTAGAATTATCGATTAATGAAAGCGAAGCCTTCAACAAAGGCTTGTTACTAATGAGACATGCTGAAATAATATTATTGAATCAATGCCACTTAGAACCCCCCCCTTTTTTTTTTAATGTATACCACCTTAAAAGACATGAATTTATTTGTTAACAAATGTGCTGCAGCAGATTGCTATTTCATTTCTTAAATTTTAGTGTCGATATTATTTAAATACCAATTAGAATGATTAAATGGAGCAATAGTAACTGGGCGAGGAAAAAAAAATTACATTCTTTATAGATTTAGCTATTAATAATTTAATTTAATTGTATGGGGAAACCTGTTTGAATGTGCAAGGAAGGTATTTTAATGTAATTTGTATTTCTAATCCAGAGCTTTCAACGTTGCAGAGGAAGAGGGAAAAAAGTTTATTTCATTATAAATTATAGATAATCCATTTAATTAATGATAGATAATTATTATGGAGTGTATTATAGAGAGCATATTGATTTTGGAGAGAAACGAGATGCATTTCAAAAAGCAGTAAGAAAGATATCTTCATAATTAATGGTTTTCTGTAGCATATTTTTCTCTTTATAAAACCATTTTATAGAGGGAAAAAATGAAATTAACTGGCAAGATTAAAAATACTGACTAAAAAAAAAGGTTTGAACAGATTGTTATTATACATATTCAACTTACCATCAAGTTTAAAGAAATCATTCAATAATTATTAAGCTCAGTAAGTGCATCATATTATTTTAGTTTTATACATTATGCAAGTGTACAAGCCTACCAAATTTTTATTTAAAAAAAACTGTGTAAAATAAGTAATTGAAATTAACTTGTGAAATAATAAGCAATAAAGTTTAACTTAGTTACATGATTATTAGATTTAGGATAAGACAGATGGCAGTCTGTCTTTTTTAGTTCTGTTGTATATTATGTAACACATTTGATAAAAAAAAATTAAAACTATAATGGAAATAAAGAATGTAAAAAGGTGAATATTTAAAAGTGATAAGCCATTAAGTTTCATTATAATATCTTAAAAACAAAATCAGTTTTTTAGTTTTAGGACAAAATATTTATATGCTAATGAATCTGTACTCTAAATTTCATATCAATATCATAATTTAAGACACATATTAAAAACATTTTTTCTAAAAAAAAGTTTTTTTGTTTTGTATAAGTTAAAACTATTCAGTTTTTTACAACTCGAAATTAAAATTGTTAACTTTTCACATTTGTTGCTGATAATTTATATTAGATTCACATATTAAATTAATAAAGTTTTAAAAAAAGTAAATTGTGAGTTATATAATTTTAAAAGGCTAACAATTTTAAGTTCCCTTTTCTTTAAAAAAAAAAAAAAAAATTACTTTTAGAAAAATAATTAATTTTGTATTGTTCATAAGTTGAAATATTAGTTTTGCAGTGCAATTAAATTATAATATTCATACTATAGTATAATTAGTTTTTAAGAAATGGAACTTAGTTATACCTTATTAACGTAACAGATTATTTCTGTACTAAGCAGTTCATCTTTTGACATTCTTAGGAAATATATTTTGCCAGCACATCAGCAATTGTGCGCTGATTATACAGGTTTTTGTTGCATTACTTTGATTGGCATGTTCATGCTGGAATATTTTCTGCTTGGGGGGGGGGGGGGGTTAAGAATTTTTTCCTACATCCTTCTCCCTCTTTTTACTTCAGTGCATGGATAATCTGCAAAAAAATAATCTGAAGTTCAATGTATCTCTAAATAGGTCTTATGCAGTACATTTTGGGTATCTGTGGGTGGTTTTATCAGATTTATATTTTCTTTAGCATGTTGAACTTCTTCCATTATATGGTAGAGCAAACCACTCAGGAAGTAAATGATATTCACTGTAATAAGCAGTCTTGTCTAAAGATA